TAGAGAAAAAACAGTTTCAGTCTGCTAAAGACTTAAAACTGGGGCAATAATTCACTTTTCAGCAGGACAATGACCCAAAGCCCAAGGCCAGAGCTACAGTACACTGGAACAGCATAACAAGAAGAAAGTGAATGCCCGTAGGTGGCCCAGTAAAAGCCCTGATATAAATCCAAGTGGAAATCTGTGGGAAGATGTGAAAATTGTTGTCCATCAGCACTACCCAACCAATTTAACAAGAGTTTGAGCGAGTTTGCAAAGGAGAATGGGACAATCCCAGTGTGCAAAGTGAAACTTTTTTATCCAAAAAGACTCGTATAATTGCTGCCAAAGCTGCTTCTATCATGTATGTAGGGCAAATACTTACGCAACCATCATAATTTAGTTGTTGATTTTTCTTTGCAGTGTTTGCCTGATTTAAACGTCCGTCACCTATAAAAGTGTCCTGTTTTGATTAAAATAGTCACTTAAACAATTTGTCATTTACAGTTCATCAAGATGGGACATCATTGAAGGGGGGGTGAATTTTAAACAATGACAAATGAGATTCAAAAGCAACTTTCGTACCTCTTCTCTGGCATGTCTAATTTTCATTGAAAAAAATGCAATTTTAGTTCACTCTACAACAGTCAGAAAATAAGAAAGAGGCTATGAAACACATTATGGATTATTTCTACTACGCTATCACGGTATACTACAATGGTTTACTGCCTTTAGGTGTATATTTCAATGCAACACACAGCACACTTAGCATTATAAAAGATTTCATTCAGTCAGCCATTAGAAACGTTTGGGGTTTAATAAATCAGCTGAAAATTACCTTTGCCATTTGCGCCTGTACTCCGCTGGCTTTGAGAGAGGCGACAGCTTTCTGCGCTGCTGCAGGGCTGTCAAAATCTACAAAGCCATATCCTGCAAAAAAGAAAATTATACAGTATAGATTAATATGAAACTTTATAGTATGCTTCCTTCTTGTCAAAAGAAAAACTCAATGCCCAGAATGCATGTAGGAGAAGTGGAATTAATGAGGTATTGTATGCAGCAAGCAAAAGCATTAAAACAGTTTTTTCTGTATATAGAACTTTGTCTTCCAGAGGCTGTTTTTTTTTTGCTTTTTCCAAAAAGGAGGAACACTTTTGTTTTCTGTTGAAATCTTATTGATTTGAAATCTACAGTAAGACACCCCACAAATGAAATTAGTATTAGAATGCTACTGTAAGGAACACAAATACCATAGTAAGACATACTGTACATCTCCAACAAGCCTGACTGCTGATTACTGTGGAAATTATTCTTAATATTAATTAAGCATTTGTCAGATTTAAAAATCAATTGCAATTTTATTTTCACTGATGTATAAATAACATATTGCTATCTACAAATGGGTACTGGCAGTGGCATGCTTTAAGCACAACCATATGCCATTTTTCTGTGTGTTTCTGTGTGTTTTAGATCTGAAAACTAATTTAGCTGAAGCTTGCTGAACTGTGATGCTTGTATCTCAGCTTTTCTTTTTTTCCAATGAATGAACAAAAAGCAATCTGGCCCTATGAGGTGTGTTAGCAGGAATATCCCAAATAATGGGCGTTTATAAGCATCTGACGTCATGTCAAGACTGATCAAATGAACTGGCCAAATCCGAACAAGTTCTGTTACTGGCCATTGCATTGAGCTTAATGGGAGATAGCTGACTTGGTTTAATTTTTAACGTGCTTCAGGTAACTCGTTGCCTGTTTCTCACACATTAGACAACGGTTGTCTCACAGATATAGGAAACAAATCTTTTCCTGGCCTTCAGCATTTTGATATTCAGTAATTGAGGAGCCAAGCTAGTGCTACATTTAGGGCAGAAAATAGACACACTTTGAAAACAATTAAGGTTTAGGTCATGCTGCTTTCAATCTTTTAAACATCTTTTAAGCCTTTAATATAATATAGCATAAAATGTAATATAATATAATATAATATAATATAATATAATATAATATAATATAATATCATGTTATTAGTGTTATCGCGAAGTGTTATCCAAATGAGAATAACGACGTACAACAGAATATGATGTTCTATCATTTTGGTTATCAGTCCATTTTCCACACAATTAAATTGGAAGAGGACCAAAGCTTGGCTTTTACACACCTTTCAATAATCTATGTGGCATCCTGCATTGTGGTGCAAAAACAACAAAAATATAAAAAAAAATCTTCATTAACCGCAAAATATATAACATTCTTCCAACAGCCAGTCAGCATGTGCAAAAATACAAGTAAACTGTACAACCCCATGGCACTAATTACTGCTGTGAAGACAACTCAGGAAGAACAGGCTAGCATCACCTGTCCCACTGGGCTGTAAATAACACCCCCAGGGTCTCCAGGTACGAGCTGAAGAAAACTGTGATTCAATCTGGCAGTGGGGTTTGAAGCCTTGAGCAGAATTAAAGGGAACTGTCATTGTTTTCTTAAGAAAGCCTTTCACCTTGTTTTCTCAGCTCGAGACAACTGGACAACAGGAGCAGCAGGCTGTGGAGAAGCTAAGCAATAAGGGAGAGAACACAACCTACTTAAATTAGGTTAGTGCCCAAGACTGCTTTTTGCTGCATGTAGGTCTGGAGCAACAACGCACACATTGATTTTACAGATTAAGGCAAAAGATACCAAATAAAGCCAACGTCATCTGTTGTCAATACTGCACATGTTTGCAGACTTTATAAGTACATCACACAAATATTTACATTGAACAGTGTAACAGTATCAAATCAAAGTGATATTTACTGTACTATGTTTTCATTTTCTAATCTTACTACCTAACTATATCTTCTTTGCAAGTAATTCAAAAGATAATAGAATAAGTAGTTGTATCATAGTATTAAGTACTTCTGCTAACTGAATGAAAATTATATGAGTCCTGTGATTGAAACTGGCAACAGGCAAAGACTTTTATTGTGTTAAAATACTGTATGAAGGAGGTATATTCTGCTTCCAAACAAAAACAGCAGAACAAGATTCAGCTACTGGAATGATCAACAAAAAAGGAATGATGGAAAAAAGTTCAAAAATGAAAACATTTTTTCGTCTCATATACTGTAGGTACACTTTAAAAATAAGTCTGTGAATAAGACTCTACCCAGTTACCACCAAGTTTGTTTAATTAGTGAAGAGATGAGTGATGTTTGAATAGATGTTGACTGAGCAGGAAAACAATTTTGCTGTCAGCACTGTACCAGGTGTTGAAACTTGAAGTGATAAAAACGTTCTCAAAATCTACGAGCGCATCTGATGTTGATCAATTACATGGCACATGTCTGAAGATATTACAGCTTTATTTATCTGCATTTCAGGAACATTTGGGAAGGAAAATCATGCTCTGTGACGAAGAGCTCCTTGGCCTGAATTCATATTTCAAAAAGATGATAAACCTGGGTCACCTGAAAGCTGTGAGACAGGCTCTCCTCAGCAAAAGACATGAAAAGACACTTCAATCGTCTGACAGAACAGATAATCCAGTAAAGGCCAGGTGTAGGCAAAATCAATCCAACACTGAACTGAGCAAACAAATACCACAATATTCAGCACCATTAGGCAGAATCTTTATGTATAGTGCACAGGAAATTATGAATATTTTGTGCTGTTCAAAATAGGTCTAAAGGCAGACGTTAGTTTTCTAAAAGTGAATGTTTTTGAACACTACAACACTAATCTTGGGAGTTAAGGAATAAAATACATTTCGAATAAATGAGACTGGAAATTGTGATTACAGTACATATTGTTGATTGGGAGAATCAGCACTTCCGATTTAATTAGAAATTTAATATTCCAGAATCTAATCTAGTATACAGATTATGTTAAAATATAACCTTGTACCTCTCCTATTTACTATATTAGTATACACAGTATAAAGTCTATATAAAAAAAAATCTAGCATGTATGTACAGTATTATTCTATTTGTGTTTATGCTGTATTAAATAAAAATTGACACTGGATAGAAAACAATCATTTTGGTATTGATTACAATAGAACTGAAAGTCTTGGATCAATTACCTGCTTCTAACTATACCTGCTAGATTGGCCATATGGCCTCCTCTCTGATTTTCTTTTGAACATCAGTATGTTGTCAGCATATCAGTATATTTCAATATACAGTACAAAAGTATTTCATAAGGATAAAGCGGTTATTGAATGGATGGATGTTGTTAAACCACTAATGTGTTATTTTGCAAGTACTGCTGTATGTTTCTGCTTGATAAAGAAAAACACCTCTGCTCTCACTTCACATCACATTTAAAGCATAATACAGTGTGTGACTGGACTCTTGAGAGACGTTTCTGCGACCAGACACACTCTGGTCTTTCAAGGAGTAAAGAGCCTTGTTGCTTTTGTACGTGAAATCAATAAATCTTTTCACTCCACATTTTAAGAGGTTTCAGGTTTGGAGGCTGGGTTAAAGCAGTGTCACAGAAAACACAGTTATAAGCGGCAGGTTAAAGAAATATCATAATTTGTAAATCTCTGTCCATCTCAACCTTCCTACTTTACCTACAGAAATAATGAATTAAGCACTGACTAGTAAAAAGGCAAATAAAGAAGAAGAATGGCCAGAATATAGCACTAATCTCTCTATATAAAAACAATCTTGTTTATTTAAAATAGCTGTTTCACTCTTTTGCCATATTTACTGCATTCCCCCTGATAAAAATACTTTAAGAATATCTGTAGTTTTTTCAGGAATTCAGTCAGACTAATGCTTTGGAATGTAATGTAAGTATCATTGCTAATCAATATGGCACCATCAACCACTGACAAATTATTTTAACCATTTTTAACTTTAACTGACTGATGTAAATGGTGAATTTACAGCATGTAAAAAAAGGAAAAAGACAAGCAAACATCAGATGTTGCGGTAGTCCTCGTGATTGGCACAAAGTATTCTTGAGACTTGTCTCTGGGTCAGAAAGGGCTGAGTCTGATGTATAAACCTTTCAGCTGAGCTGGAAACTCCCTTCTTCTGGGCCTCCCAGGCAGTGAGAAAAGATGCTCAATGGTTGTGCTATGGAACACCACATTATTCCCAGTGTAGTTAATATAAAAACACTGAGGTACTGTGGGGTTTTAAAATAGTAAGGTGGCATTCATATGTGGATTAGGCAAAGCTGGTTTGGTTAGTATCCAAGCCCCAGAGAGAATGCTTCCCTAAGCTGCACTTTCTTCATATTGAAAAGTTGCTTCTAATAAATAAAAATGAGGTTTTGTGCACATTCTCGTGGCCTCATCCACTAAGCCAGCACCGACAAGACGTAAACAAGCTAGATCAAATATATCTTCCCAAATTACCATCCGGGACACATCTGCGCAACATGTTTTTTTGTTCCGCTCATTTTGAAACAAAAAATGCGAGTCTCTAGTTAACTGATCTTTTTTATGAAAAGCACAAATAAAGCGGTGAAAACAAAATGAAGCAAAATCCGACGACCGTAAAGAAGCCTGTGGCTGATTACAGTACATCAGACCGCTATCAAAGAGAAGCTAGGAGTGCGCGAGCAGTTTTGAAGGATTCCAAAGTTCCATCGTCACGATACACTGTAACAAAGCGCCGTGGCACCAGGGTGTTTATGGAGTAAATGTTAGTGGCAAAAAAAGAATGTATGAGAATAATGGGTCTTCGCTGACACAAAAACCATGGCGCATCAACAAAAGTCTCTTTCATAAAATACTGTAGTGTAGCAATGTGTCTGTTACTGTTGTTTGACAAAGTCATTTGTTGTTCAGAACAAAGAGTGCAAGAGACCATCTTGCTTGACAAAGAGCAAAGGTTTAATACACATTTCCATTGACGTGTCTCTCCCAGCAGACTTGCTGGATGATAGACTACACAGTTTATAACCACAGAGCAGGACTGAACCTTGGGAAGAATG